TTGGGAATGGGGAATGGGAATGGGAATGGGATTGGGAATTGTGGGGTTTGGAATGGGATTGGGAATGGGAATTGTGGGGTTGGGAATGGGATTGGGAATGGGGAAGGTGAGGGTGCGGCTCCAGGCAGTTCACCTGGGAAAGGGGGAAAAATGATGGGAATTGGGGGGTTGGGAATGGGATTGGGAATGGGAATGGGATTGGGAATGGGATTGGGAATGGGGAATGGGAATGGGAATGGGATTGGGAATTGTGGGGTTTGGAATGGGATTGGGAATGGGAATTGTGGGGTTGGGAATGGGATTGGGAATGGGGAAGGTGAGGGTGCGGCTCCAGGCAGTTCACCTGGGGAAAATAACGGGAAAAATAATGGGAATTGGGGGGTTGGGAATGGGATTGGGAATGGGATTGGGAATGGGGAAGGTGAGGGTGCAGCTCCAGGCAGTTCATCTGGGAAAGGGGGAAAAATGGGAAAAATGATGGGAATTGGGGGGGAAAAATGGGAATTGGGGAGTTGGGAATGGGACTGGGAATGGGAATGGGGAATTGGGAATGGGAATGGGATTGGGAATGGGAATTGTGGGGTTGGGAATGGGGAATGGGAATGGGATTGGGAATGGGGAAGGTGAGGGTACAGCTCCAGGCAGTTCACCTGGGAAAGGGGGAAAAATGGGAAAAATGATGGGAATTGTGGGGGAAAAATGGGAATTGTGGGGTTGGGAATGGGATTGGGAATGGGGTTGGGAATGGGATTGGGAATGGGATTGGGAATGGGGAAGATGAAGGTGCGGCTCCAGGCAGTTCACCTGGGAAAAATGGGAAAAATAATGGGAATTGGGGGTTGGGAATGGGATTGGGAATGGGGAAGGTGAGGGTGCGGCTCCAGGCAGTTCACCTGGAAAAGGGGAAAAATGATGGGAATTGGGGGGTTGGGAATGGGATTGGGAATGGGATTGGGAATGGGGAAGGTGAGGGTGCAGCTCCAGGCAGTTCATCTGGGAAAGGGGGAAAAATGGGAAAAATGATGGGAATTGGGGGGGAAAAATGGGAATTGTGGGGTTGGGAATGGGATTGGGAATGGGAATGGGATTGGGAATTGTGGGGTTTGGAATGGGATTGGAATTGGGGAAGGTGAGGGTGCGGCTCCAGGCAGTTCACCTGGGAAAATAATGGGAAAAATGATGGGAATTGTGGGGAAAAATGGGAATTGTGGGGTTGGGAATGGGACTGGGAATAGGAATGGGATTGGGACTGGGGGATTTGCACCTCCAGGCAGCTCACCAGGGTAAAAACGGGGAAAGAAAGAAAAAAGGAGGAAAAGGGGAATAAAAAGTGGGGGAAGAAAGGGGGGAAAAGAGGGAAAAAGGGCAGGGGTCCTTCCTGGCCATCCCAAATCGTGGGAACCACCAATTCCCAGCAGAGGAAATTTGGGATGGGAACATTCCCAGCACTGACACCTCCCTTTCCTGCAGCCCAGAGCAGGAAAGAGCTGGAAAAATCCTCGGGATCGGCCAAATTTGGGATCCCAAAACACCCCGGGAAACAGCAAGGGGAAAACAACGCTGCTTTTTGGGGAAAAGGGGGTGAATGCAGGGAAAATTCTTGGGAATTTTGGGGAATTTTGGGGATTTTGGGGGATTTTGGGGCTCACCACTCCGCCTTTGTCGCCTTCCATGAACTGCACGATCTGGCAGGAGGATTTTTCCCAGAGGAAAATGTGGCCGCAGTCGCTGCCGCTCAC